GTTCTATACTATGAACTTGTCAGGAGATATATTCTATAATCAAGTCGAATGTTGACTGACGTTTTTTTATATTAATTGTTAGACCATTATTAACAAATTGAATTGTCTACAATTTTTCCAGTTTGGTCCATCCTTAAAAGGGGCGCACGACTGGTGTGACCGGTAGAGAGGGGATGCTTGATCCTCCATGGCACCTGATCTTACCTCTGATGTTTTATAAATAAGAATATGAAAAAAAGAGTTCACAAATGAAAACAATATAATGTCACAAATAAATTATGCTCTTTATTCATTCTTTCTATTGTTTGATTTCTTTTTCCTTTATATATTTATTTTTTTATTAATTTATGATTAGTCGCTCATGTGGCGCAGTAGTAAGAGCATGTGCTCTAGAGTCTCGAAGTAAGGAGTTGATCCAAAAGTGGCGGGTTTGAATCCCACTATGGGACGTGGAGACCGGTCCTTCATATGACACCGTATCAACCAAGGTCCCATGTCCCAGTAGGTGTTGGCGTATTTGTTGTATTAGGTTACCTTTATAAGTCAAGGGGTAGCTGCAGGATAAAGTATTTTACATTGTACTTTACATTGTGCAATTTGAGAAAACCTGGTGCAACGGAAATTGTTTCGTCATTTCTAGGTTAAGACATTTGAAAATTTATGTTAAGTGTTTTTGTCAGCAAGCATATGCAGTGGTACGTTATCTGACTTGTGTGTCTTCAGTTAGCTGAGCAAGATTTTGCTCAAGAGTTTGCCAGAAAAGCTTAACATAAATACCATCTTATTTTTTTCTAGAAAGGTTAAATACCTTTTCCGGTATGTCTGTTGTGAAACAGTTTTTCTGATTTTTTTACTGAGTTTCGATTTTTCTCTTTTCTCTGTATTTTTTAACCGCTCGAAGATTTCATCTAGTTGTTGGTCACTTTCCCAGAAACCATAGAAGCATCGGGATCCTCTTCTTTTTTTCTCCCTTTACATGTATCTCCTATTGTAGTTACATGTAAATGGAGAAAAAAGAAGAGGATCCCGATAGGGAATTCAGGACAGGAGAGTTGATATATATTATTATCTCCTATTGTAGTTAATAATATATATCAACTCTCCTGTCCTGAATTCCCTATAGCCAGTTGTGAAATATTTTTGCAGTTCTCAATCGTCTTCTCTACATGGATTCCTTAATCATTTTATGTTTATCCTCAGCATGCACCAAAGATATCAACGATTCTCTTGCTTCATTCTGAGAGTAAATAAGAAATGACTGATTTGTCACAAGTGAAGATTTTGATCTGTAGCGTAAAAATTGCTAAAGTCGTCGAAAAATGATTTAGGAACCATGTTGTGCTTTATAACATGTCTGTTTAATAAGCTATGGAAAAGGAATCCAGTATTTTGCGTCTGAAAATGGTCTTTCACCATTCTAAGAAAATTACATTGTCTGGATTTTTTTTTATAAAGGGACCTGTATTCTCATCAACCAATCCCTAAGGCTCTAGAAGGAATTGAAAAACCTTATTAACAATTGCTTTAATACAGAATTAAACATCATAAATAGTGTCTGTACACCAGTGGGGAACGGTGAGGTTATCTCAAAATCAGCCGCTGCTATGTTTTGAAATTCAATAAGATCTTTGTATTTATCATTCAGATTTTATATGTGGTCCTTTTTCCTTAAGCCTTCATAGTGGGGCAGTAAAAAATGTCAAAATTAGTCGTAGAATTTTGGCACCTGCTAAATATAAGGTTTCTTTTGCATCATGAAGAACTGCTTTTGGTAAATCATTACATGTTCATTGTTCTGTCTCTAGGGATATCCCTATGGTGATAATACACAGTTTTTCCTAAAAGAAACACGAGTTTAAAGCAAGTGTGGTTAAACCAAATGATTTGAGTTTTCATCTCCTCCGTTGAAAATGGGTTTCCACTGCAATCTGTCACCATTTTTTATCATCTCTAATTGCATATGCTTTTCTGATGTAATTAGAAGTCTTAAAACTCCACTTCTATTTCTGTCATTTTTCCTCAGATTGAAATATGCTGCAGATTCAATGTTCTTTCCATCAATTAACTCTTTCCAAAACTAATTGATGCTAGTTTCTCAGGAAGCCGCTATCCCAACAAGTAAATTCAGACCAAAAAGAAGTAGTTTAGTTAGGGTCACAATCTGTTTTCTGTTTCATCAAGGACACTCAAGTCATCTATATGTTCCAGTGATATGGTGTATCAGTGTTACATGTAACTCCTCTAGAAGGCTGTTGAAAGTATTTTTCTGTGCCTGCTCTGTCGAACATTGTGTCTCGGATGTTTGCCATTATTGTATATCTAAGATTTGTATAATTGTCCTTTTCTTTTTTACAACAATATTATTTAGTATTCCACTATGCTTTGCCTACTCTTGTTGAACGCTTATCTTAAACCAAGAATGTATGAATTTTGTTCTTCATCAGTAACAACATTTGGTTATATGGCCATATGGACTTACCAAATTTTGATGTGTAGTAATTTTATGCCCCGTAATCGAAAAATCCGGGTTACATATTTTTCACTTTGTTCCCTGTCTCTCTATCTGTTTCGCTACCTGTTTGTATATTTATCTGTTAAATATCCATTAAAACCTTAACTTTGCCAATAACTTTTGATTTGTTGGAGCTAAGTCTTTCATTTTTCATTTGTGTTTTATTTTGACAAGTCCTTTGTTTTGTGTTTTAAGATATTTGACATGATGACTTTGGTCTTTTAAATAGACTAACTTTTGCAAAATTTTATTAAATTTTATCGTTGGCCAAAACTTTTTAATGGTTACATGTAGTTCTAGGGCTTTCATACTTCACATGTGTATTCCTGGTGATAAAACCTTTCCTTGGGGACAAAAAAATCTGAGCTTTTACCTTGACCTTAGAGTTTGACCGCCTTGTAACAAGCTTTAATCTAGGCCACTACTTTTGAACTAGAGTTTCAAATTTAGCTATGTATTTCTTCTGATGAGACTCTCCCTAGGGAACCAACAATTTTGACCTTGAGATGAGTTTACCATAACCTTTAATTTTGAACGGTTAAGTGCTAAGGTTTTTATATTTCAAAGGCATTGTGAACTTCTTGCAAAATATACTTCCTCTGTGAACCAACAATTAGCCCCTTTGACTTTGACCTTGGAGTTTGAACTACCCTTGACCTACCGTTACCATGGCTAATGTTTTTGAATAGTTAGTGCTAGTGCCTTCATATTTCACGGGTGTATTCCTTGTGGCAAGACCTTTTCTTATATTCCAACATTTTTGACCCTTGGACCTTAACTTCTTTTGAAAAACATTAACCTAAGGCACTAGTTTTGATCGCTTGCTATTCGGATTTTTATATTTCACAGGTGAAGTCTTTATGACAAGACTTTTCCTTGGACACCGGCAATTCTGACCCTTTGACGTTGACTTAAAAGTTTGACCTATAAAAACTTAAACCCAGCCTTCACTTCTGAATGGTTAGAGCTTAAGCTTCAATACTTCACAGGTGTATTTCTTTCGAGAAAAGGAAGGGGTTAATGTTTTATCGGTATCTTTGAATACTTCACTGTACTCACTAATCAATATTTTTTTAATGGTTTCATCTTTTATTAGAAAAAAAAAATTAATATAAGTTCTTATAATTTTTGCAACTCACCAGCCAAAGTCAACAGACTAGCTGCAGATCTGTAGCGTTATGGTTTTATATATTTGTCCTTGTCCTTAACGCTACAGATTCCGTAATGCAAAAAGGTGCAATTTACGGCGCAATAATTTTTGCGCACTTTCGGGGAAAATTTCTCCACTTTCCAGCATCGGTCAATTAACTACCTTTCACTCCCTAATTCCAGGCACATTATTGAACTAATCTGTATATTTTATCAATCTACCTACCCTTTATAGTTGTCTTTACAAGACATTTAGTGATAAACCCTCTTGATTAAAATCATATGTTCGATTGCTGAAAATTAACTCCAAGCGAGTTCTTTGCCTGTAGAGACAACTATAAATGGTTGGGAGATAGATAAAATATATATATTGACTGCAGAATGTGCCTAGAACTAGGGACTGAAAGGTAACACTAATTAATTGACCGATGAGAAATTTTCCCCAAAAGTGCGCAAAAAATATTGCGCCGTAAATTGCACCTTTTTTGCATTACGGGATATGTAGCGTTATGGTCAAAGACAAATATATAAAACCAAAACGCTACAGATCTGCAGCTATCAACAGATATACACTGAGTAAATCTGAACTTTGACGACATGGCACAAAAAAGAAGAAATTCAAGCTTAAAATTCATGCTATTTTGGTTTTGATCCGAGATTTTAAAAACAGGTTTTCGCTTTTGTTGCATAAATGACTGTTTATTTAACTTGTGGATATTGTTATCTTATATGAATACAGTTATAATTTACTGTTTTACTCATCCTTTTTTCACGTGTTTTTGTTTGCTTTTAGGTGAAAGTACTGTATTCTCTAAATGAAGACATTTGACCTTATAACTTAGCATAACAGTGGCGTAGCATCGTTTTTGAAAGGGGGCAGTCAGAGAAATTTTTTTTTTACTTACCTGAAAAAGTTGACAAGCAAAAAAAAAAAAAAAAAAAAGGTACCAAAGACGAAAAACCGATTTGGTGGGGAGGGGTTGTGGGGGGTTGGGGGGTAGAGGTAAACTTTTTCTCAGTGTCAATTACTTTTAGTACCAATTCTTATATTACATTTTCGGTACACCACTAAAAGTCTACAAGTGGGGGGGCCAACCAGGCTTTCAATTAACATTTCTTATAGCATAAGTAAGGTTGGGAAAAAAAGTGGGGGGCCTGCCCCCCCCCCCCCCCCTGGCCCCCCGGTTGCTACGCCCCTGCATAAACTTCATTCGTTACTCATCGGGTTTTATTTAGTTTCAAAATCATCGGGATCGAAGATCAGAGTTAGGAAACCGCCGCATAGCTACAAATTGTATTGACTACAAATAGGTGAAAATTTCAGTTTGTGTGTTTTTTTCGGAATCAACTCTTATCTGGCTGGTCGAGGATTTACGGAGACAGCCAGGTGTCTGGTTCTAGCTATAATCAATATGGCCACTCCGAAGTGGCTAGACACAGGTACAAAAGGTACGTGATTTTTATAATATGAAACAGATATATCGTACAATTGAAATGGAAAGAGGAAGTGAGACAATATTCCGATAAAAATGTAACATCGTACATTTGCTTACAAAGATAATACATTCTTGATATTTTTATTACAAAAATATTAAACCGAAAGCAGATCAGGAACTCGGGGGATTTTCTTGTAAAAATAGATCCTTGTCATTATCTATTTTTATCCTTTGCAAAATTTAAGGACAAGGTCACAAAAAACAAGCTTAAATAATTGTGTGAAATGATTGCACTTTCTTACTTATTATGTTCAATCAAATGAAATGCATGCAAAAATTAATTTTCTTTAATTTATTCCTTCACAGACGGTGCCTACATATACTGGTCTTTAAATGTATCTCTTGCTTTTTTTCTCTTTTAGATCGGAAGTACACGTTTTTATTTTTTAATAACAGGACAGACGCCTATTGTTTAAAAAAAAAAAACTGCATAAAATTTCTAAACCTATCAAGAATTGAAAAATTTATACCGGGTAATTTAATTTTGTTTGAATTCTAGTCTCTCATTGGTTGATTTCCAAAAAGGAACGCAAATTATTTCTTAATAACCTGGTTTGGTTTGGGGAAACACCCCCATGACAACCAGCTGAATCATCTGTATCCATGCAATCTCCTCATTTCCAGACCTTGGGATTCATGAGAAATTCCAGATTTAATAAATGTTTCTTTAACTTTAAACAGTAGCTCGATCTTACCACGAGTAAACAAACATCATGGCTGCTAGATCTGTGTATCAGTTATTACCTCCCCTTGTTTCATATCACTCATATGTGATTTCTCAGGACATATCATTAAGTCACGAAGCAGCAAAATCCTGGACGTCACAGGCATTATAAAAAAATATATATTATTGAGCTTTCATTTTTGCAACATTTTCCCAAGAGTACCTGTCAGACCTGGGGTCAATTACTTTGAAATGTAATGCATTTAGTTACAATTACTTTGGAATTTTTATCATTACAATTACAATTACCATTACTCTCATTCAGAAAAGTAATTAATTAAATAACAATTACATTGTTAAAGTAATGAATTACATTACACATTACATTTTATAAGAGAAAAAACATAAAAAGTATGACCACACAATTTATACCTTTAAATTAAATTTCACACTTTTTGCTCGATTAATATGCTTTCCCTCAGATATATATAATTCAGAGCAGTGTTTGGATTTTGCATTCATGTATCATGTTCATGTAGTTTACCTGAATCCAATCTACAGTTGAAAAAGAAAGTTATCAGAACACGTTCAATAATGTTGTAGTTTTGTTCAATATCTAATGTTAGTTTCTCTGTTGTTGTTTTTTAATAAATGATTTATTCAACATTTCTTACTACCGGTATATGTTATATGTAAACTAATATTTAATTAACAGATAATGCTATAATTGTAAAACAAGTATTAAAACTTTATGGATTCATTAGCACTTCTAACTAGCTAAACAAGTACATATATAATTAACGAAGCTATAAATTAAACATAACCAAAGGTGATAATTACAAGTACCTAGTTATAGGATTTTAATTTTGAGTCCTTAAGCTACCAAAAATTAATGATCATGGTCAATATATCAGTTTGGCCTTAGTTTTCCTTTGTGTCTACAATAAAATCATACTGATCTTGTATCAAGTTTACCAACTCCATTTTAACAGAATGAAAAGGGAAAAAGGATAAAAATATATTTTGTATCTTAATTTAACTGGTAGTCTCACTATACATGTATATAACTGATGAATTTTTTAAATATTTTTCGCTGGTTCTCTTCAATTGATTTTACAATTCTCTTGTCAAGAAGCTTTTAATTCAAAGAATTATTTACTTTGTCTATCAATTACCATTTAATTAAAAAAAGATTGTAAGATATAGTATTTTAATTTTAGGACTCTAACATTATTAACAAAAAAAATTACCTCTCAGTAATATTCATTTGTTTCTCACTCAAAAATAAAAAGAGACTAATATACAAAAAGTAATTGAAATGTAATTGAAAAGTAATTGGTCATTACTGACCTTTTTTTAAAGTAATGCATTACATTACAATTACTTGTAATTGAAAGATGGATCCATTACACATTACATCCTATTACTTTGAAAAAATGTAATGATTACAATGCATTACCATTACACATTACCAATACCCCAGGTCTGGTACCTGTACAGTTTGAGTTACCTTACCCACTCAACATTCAAACACCATTCCTTATTAACCTTAAAATCTTTTAAACAAGTAGAGAATATTCGTTATTGTTTTAAAACCAAAAACTGCAGGTATTTATGAGGTATGGTGTGATATTGGTGACTCTCAAGAACGTTCTTTACAGGCCGTATAAAGTTTTCGTCCATAATCTTCTTCCCGTCCTCCCGTATAGCCTTTTTACAGAGGTCTAACGGTCTAAAATTTCAATTTGCTATTTGTGGACGAATGTTAAGAAAACCCTAGTTTACTACATGTTTTTGGATCAATGTTGGCGATATCTCGAGCATTACACATAATTTAACAAAAGTGTGGTGCGCCGTCAATTCAGGAAACGTCATTTTCACAATCGTTTTCACGGGAATCGCATCAGAGAAAAATTACTATATTTCTGTTAGTTCTTCAAATATTATGGAAATCTAAATACTCAATAATAGAACAATTTAAAGATACATTTGAGAAAATTGTTGAAAAATATCGCGCAATATAGAAAATTAATGAGTTAAATTTTGGATTCCGCATGCTTTTGCTTCAAATTTTTTGTCGTGCTCCGTATCTCCCCATCAGTGATATCAACATTCCGATAAATTCAGTAGCAATATTTTTTTTAAATACAGCAATTTTGCCTACATGTATTGAAATCTTTAAGATACATATTTCTGTGAAATTTCCTAACTATATGACGTCTTTAAGAGTAAATAATAGTACAGTCCGCCTAATTTTTGCCGGCCCTCGTATCTCCACCAGTTCACGCTCTTCAACAGACTGGCTATACTGTTGTGGTGCAGCAGGTGTGGCATTGTTATTTCTAAGTGTACGTCGTCGTTTAGGGTTGGACACCATCCTGTAAAATTAAAGAATTATAATAATGTGTGCAAACAATCCTGTATAAATGGGCTTCACTACCTTTGTAGTGATTTAAGAAATGAATGTAATATTTTTTACTTTGATCGATGTATCAAAGAAAAATTTGGACGGAAAACTTCATCAATTGATGAAAATGTTTTCCGTCCAAAATTTTCTTTGATACATCGATCAAAGAAAAATATTACATTCATTTCTTATCATTTAATTATGATTTTAAATTAATAAAATGAAACTTTCTTTCACCTAATCTATTAAATTTTCGCATCTAAAACAGTGCGCACGAATACATCACTACAACGTAAACGTTGCTGAAATTCAAAAGGGCTCAAACGAAGAAACGTTCTCAAATATTGTCGTGTCATTACCAACATTCACTGAAATGATTTACAGTTCTTTAACACAAAAAACTTGCCTATTGTGTTATTATCCCTATCGGTATATTTTCCCCGGCAAGTTATCCAAGTTCGTATATGTAAAGGGAAGCTACTCAAAATATCCTATAGTACAGTTCTAACGTTAGGTCACAGAAATTTTGGATTTCATATGCACATCTTTTCATCTGAATTTCAAACCGAACATATAAATACGTATCACAACCTGTCAATGCTGTAAAACCTGAAAGAGTCTGCTGCCGGCTGTTTAAGATTAAAAGAATCTGTCCTCATTCGTGAATGCAGTGTCGTTTTTCTCGATCATTCGTTTCCAAGGATTTAACAGATTAACGGTTTTCCTCTCTTCGGTAGCATTAAAAACGTTTTTTTTTTTTTTCAGAAGTCTATTGTTCATACCAGATATCTCAAATCCAAACATTTAACAAAAGTATGCTGATTTCTTTCCTTCTTTCCCAAAACTGTATTGTCGTTATGCAGACGATTTGATTTGTTTTGCAAAGGGGGATAATTCAAAAAGAAACGAAAGTAGAAGATAAGTCAGGAACGTAACGGACAGGTTTCGAAATTCAGAAAAATATTTATAAAGTAAAAGTATTTAATAAATCCTTCAAGAAATAGCCTGGAAGCGGGAAATATAAATGTAGAGACTGCCAAAGTAGTTCCGGCTGCTTAGTGCAAACGAACTCTAGATTTTATTGATGCAGGTATCAAAGGAATTTTTAAACCAATCAGATCTAAGTATTTTATAGAAATTAAATGATAGCTATATACAGTTGAAATTAAAGTTAAACAAAGCTAACCGGTAGACTGGTGAGTTTACCTAGCTTAACAGTAGTCTGAGCCACTATTTCATACTGTAGCCAGAACTGCTATTTCATAATATTATACTTTCATGTCAATTAGTCGAATCTGATTGGTCAAGAAACATTTGCTAAAAAATACTTTTAACCGCTGAATAATGAAGCTACGCCCTCCAGCGTAGCAGCAGTCAAGAGAGCTTGACGACGGTTGATATTCTAAATAATAGCGACTGCACAGAATTTATGCGCGCACGGTTCACTGTTATATATATTTGTATAAAACATTCAGTATAATATAATAAATATTGCATGTAGTTGAGTGTAACATTGAAAATTTTCAACCTTCGAAAACCATTGTCAACCTCTGCTGCGCCTCGATTGACAATGGTTTTCTTGGGGTGAAAATTTTCAATGTTACACTCAACTACATGCAATATTTATATATTCTGTAGCCGGAGCTAATATCTCATACTGTAACCAGAGCCACTATTTCATACTGTAGCCAGAGCCACTATTTCACACTGTCGCCAAGACTACTATTTCATACTGTGGTCAGAGCTACTAACACATACTGTAGCTGGAGCAACTATTCGCAACAAATTCGCGCTGTGACAAAGTTCTTTCAGAAGGGCATTCGCTCGAATTAGACTTTCGTTGTAAACTGACGCACTGATATGGGCAAAAATTTGATAATAGTATATCTGTTGGTATATTACAATTTTGTCTTTTTACTTGTGTCAAGAAAGCTACCAAGCCATGTACAGTTTGCTCTACCAAGTCCACTACATTGTCTAGGTCGTTACCTCCCAAGTGAACAATGAGATGCTTTGGCTTGTGACGCTGAATTGCGTAATTAAATTCTCGTAAATGACTGGGGTTTCCCACTCAAGCTCCGCCGATACCAAAGAAAATGACATTGGGAAGGCGTTCAATGTTAAATATGTCCTGAGATGGTCTGTGGGACCCAATAAATTGGTTAAAACGTCTAACATGTGAGCTACCAATGCAGAGGGTAGTCATATTTCGTGATCCGTGGGTGCGATTGCGGAGTCACGTTATCAAAAAAATTCACTTTATATTTTGTTTCACGCCCAGTTGAAAGGCAAACTGATGTTAATATCTGCTGCCCAAAAATAAAATCACATATAAATTTAAGATGAACAGTTGTTGCCCGTCCTGCAATGCAACCGATGAGAGGTTTGGAGTGCAGTTAGGCGCACCACACAGCTCCGTTTTTTATACAAATGAAAACACTATAAACACAGAAAAGTTCTCTGCGGATAGTTATAATTACATAGTGAAGTGTACAACCAGTTTTGTTCCAAATATGACTCTTGGTCTATGAAAAGAGTCAATTGTTGACATTGAAATACATAAAAAGAGACTGTCCTTCTCTCCTACCATCATCTTCTGACCCTCAAACATTCACATCAGCATACAAATCATTCATATACTGTCAATCACTTTTTATAGAACTTTTATTTAATCGCGTAATTATACCATATATAGCGAAAATTTTGTATATATAGAATTCAAGGTCGTGTGAAAATTATGCTATTAAAGGATTTTGAAAACTCGCGAAAATAAGGTGTAGCAAAATGATCTACAGTAGTAGAAGTCAAATGTTTATGATGGATTTTGAAAACTCAGACTAGCAAAATGACAAGAAGTATGTTTAGAAACGCAGTTTAGATTCAACATCACTCACTCCTAGTCCCTGTATTTTAATAAAGAAAAAGAAAGATTTAAGATAGAATGTGTTCATTTCTGACATATACTTGAGCCATTAACACCTTGTATTAAGTTACCCATGCTATGTTTCTTTTTGAAATCGTTTCTATATACCATCTGTGAGATTGAGTCCTTAATTAAGTATTAACGTTGAAATAATTGATAAATATCTTGATTTTCTACAGTGTGTATTTAGCAGTTCAAGTGTATTTTCTTCTTCTTAGATGACGAAATGATTGGTGATGAAGTCTCAACGCGACAAGCATCTCAAGCTTTCATGTCTAATGATGAAAAATTAAAAGATGATTCCGTTGAAAGTAAGATAGAATTCTTTTTTAGATTCCAATGAAGTCATAAAAAATGTAAAAATTCCTAAATTAGAGAGCTGAAGCAAGCAAACCTTAATCATACTTTTCTGATCGAACATCAGTCTTTCTCTTTGTCTGTTCATCGTGTGTTGTGAGTAAAGTTTTGACATATTTTGCATCTTCTCCCAAATGAGTGATAACGTGTTTAGAATTTGCAAAGTTTGATAATTGTATTGCTTTTGCATCAAGAAACAATTACATTCAGGAACAGAGATCTTTATATAGGAATATATAGGAATGACATTTAGTTATTTTTTTACTCAAAAGAAAGATCAAAAGTCTTGGCCCTACAATGTGTCAACATCCTCATGAAATGTATCCAAGGATATGTTCAGAAATTAGGAAAGAAGGTGTTTGCTGCTCAGATTTCGATTTCTGAACATTTTCATGAAGTATGCAACCAGTTTTGTTCCAAATATGACTCTTGGTCTAGGAAAGGGTCAATGGTTGACATTGAAATACATAGAAAGAGAGTGTTCTTCCTCCCCAACCATCATCTTCTGACCCTCAAACATTCATATCAACATAATTAATCATTATACCATATAGTAGAATTTTGTTCAAATCCTCATTATGATGGATTGTGAAAACTCAGACTAGCAAAATAACAATAAGTATGTTTAGAGACGCGGTTAAGATTCATCAAAGTTTACTCTTAGCCCCTGCGGTTAAATGAACAAAAGTAAGACTTAAAGAAGAATGCATTTATTTCTAACATATACGTGTGCCATTAACACCTTGACTTAAGTTACCGATCCTTGATTTCTTTTTGAAATTGGTTTCTACATGCCATCATCTTTGAGAATGATTTTTTAATTAAGCATTAACTTTGAAATGATTCATAAATATCTTGATTTTCTACAATGTGTTTATAGCAGTTCAAGTGTATTTTCTTCTTCCTAGTTGATGGATTGATTGGTGATGAAGTCTCAACGCGACAAGCATCTCAAGCTTTCATATCCAATGATGAAAAATTTAAGGATAATATCTTTGAAAGTAAGATGAAATTCTTTTTTAGATCCAATGAAGTCATAACAAATGTAAAATTCCCGAATGAGAGAGCTGAAGCAAGCAAACCTTAATCATACTTTTCTGATCGAACAGGTATCAGTCTTTCTCTTTGTCTGTTCATCGTGTGTTGTGAGTAAAGTTTTGACATAATTGGACCTTCTCCAAAATAATTGATTTCGGGTTTAAGATTTGCAAAGTTTGATAATTATGTTGCTTCGTGCATCAAGAAACAATTACATTCAGGAACACAGATCTTTATATATGAATATATAAGAAAGACTTTTAGTTATTATTTTCTACTGAAAAAAAGGATCAGAATTCTTGGCCTTCAAGTGTAAACATCCTCATGAAATGTATCCAAGGATATGTTCAGACATAAGAAAAGAATGTGTTAACAGCTCAGATTTCAATTTCTGAACATTTTCATGAAGTGTACAATCAGTTTTGTTCCAAATATGACTCTTGGTCTAGGAAAGGGTCAATGGTTGACATTGAAATACATAGAAAGAGAGTGTTCTTCCTCTCCTACCGTCATCTTCTGACCCTCAAACATTCACATCGCGGGTATGTTAAGGAAGCATATAAGTCATTTCTCGGAAAATTTAGACTTTTTAAAGAAAATTTAGTTTGATAAATTACCAAAACCGCTGATAAACGTCAACTATTATTATCTACTGAATACAGATAAAAGAGTGTCTAAAATAAAGACATGCACCACTGCCTCAGAATCAGGTGACTTCTATTTATAGCGAAATTTTCCTTAATAAAAAAGCTAATTAACAACAATACCCCATGATATTTCTTTTTACTAATTTCTATATAAATAATATAGTTGAAAAACATCTATTGTGCCTAAAAAGTGCTGCTAGAATCCCACTGTCCTGTCAATAAAATGATTATACACTTGCACAAAACTTTGAGAATGAATTTTTAATTAAGCCATTAATTTTGAAATGATGGTTCCCTGTGTGAATTTTATACAGTATCAAGTGTATTTTCTTCTTCTTAGAGATTTTTGGTGATAAATCATGCTTAACAAGCATTCTAGCAGCACTTTCATGTTTAATGATGAAAAATCTTTACAAATTTTATGTTTTGAAATATCCAGTTTTTGTTGTTCTGCTGCATTATTTTTGTCACAAAATAAATTAGAGAGTGAAGCAAGCAAACCTTAATCATACGTATAAACTGATCTGTCTTCGAAAGAGTGAAAATAATTTAGCAATGTGTTTAATTAAATGAAATCCATATGAATTTTACATATTATTAATGATGATTTGCTTTTAAACTTCATTTCACTATGTATGTACAAGCCGTCAAGTAGCCAAATTCTCTTTCATGACAATTCCTCAAGTTATTGATTCATATGACGTGAACATATTTTTTTCTCAAAATGACAAAATACAGCATAACAAAGTAAGAACATTTTCATTTGTTAATGTATCCATATATGTTCATTTAGAAAGAAGTTAAATTTTATTCTGAAATTTTCATTATGAACAACATGGATTGTTCCAAAAAACTCAGACTAGCAAAATGACAAAAAGACATGTTTAGAGATTTTAGTTTAGATGCGATCAGCATACAGTAATCATTTCATCATATAGTAGAATTTTGTTCAAATCCTCATTATGATGGATTGTGAAAACTCAGACTAGCAAAATGACAAAAAGTATGTTTAGAAACGCAGTTTAGATTCAACATCGCTCAATCCTTGTCCCTGCGGTTAAATAAAGAAAAAGAAAGATTTAAGATAGAATGTGTTTATTTCTGACATATACATGAGCCAATAACGCCTTGACTTAAGTTACCCATCTTTGATTTCTTTTTGAAATCTGTTTCTATATACCATCATCTGTGAGATTGAGTCTTTAGTTAAGTTCAGACTTTGAGATAATTTATAGATATCTTGATTTTCTACAATGTGTATTTAGCAGTTCAGGTGTATTTTCTTCTTTCTAGTTGTTGGAATGATTGGTGATGAAGTCTCAATGCGACAAGCATCTCAAGCTTTCGTATCTAATGATGAAGAATTAAAGGATAATTCATTTGAAAGTAAGATTAAATTCTTTTTTAGATTCCAATGAAGTATTAACACATGTAAAAATTCCTGAATTAGAGAGCTGAAGCAAACCTTAATCATACTTTTCTGATCAAACAGGTATCAGTTTGTCTCATTGTCTGTTCTTCGTGTGTTGTCCTTAAGTTTTGACATATTTTGCATCTTCTCCCAAATGAGTGATAACGTGTTTAGGATTTGCAAAATTTGATACTTGTGTTGCTTCTATCATCAAGTAGCAATTACATTCAGGAACACAGATCATTATATATGACTGTATAGGAATGACTTTTAGATATATTTTTTAGCTCACAAACAGGATCAAAAGTCTTGGCCATACAATGTTCCAACATCTTCATGAAATGTATCCAAATATATGTTCAGACATTAGGAAAGAAGGTTTTCGCAGCTCAGATTTTGATTTGTGAACATTTTTATGAAGTGTACAACCAGTTTTGTTCCAAATATGACTCTTGGTCTATGAAAGAGTCAATTGTTGACATTGAAATACATAAAAAGAGACTGTCCTTCCTCTCCTACCATCATCTTCTGACCCTCAAACATTCACATCAGCATACAGTAATCATTTTATCATATACTGTAAATCACTTTTTATTCGTGAGAACTTTATTTTCGCGTAATTATGCGAGACGATATACTCGCGAAAATTTCATTCTCGCGTATTATAGAATTCCCTAAGGTTATATAGAGCAATGACGACAATTCGTGAAAATTTTGTCTCGCTATTAAAGAGTCAATGACTATCTCGGGAAAATAAGGTGTCGCGAAAATTAAGTGATCTACAGTAGTAGAATTTCGTTCAAATCGTCATTATGATGGATTTTGAAAACTCAGACTAGCAAAATGACAAGAAGTATGTTTAGAAACGCAGTTTAGATTCAACATCACTCACTCCTAATCCCTGTATTTTAATAAAAAAAAGAAAGATATCAGATAGAATGTGTTCATTTCTGACATATACTTGAGCCATTAACACCTTGTCTTAAGTTACCCATGCTATGTTTCTTTTTGAAATCGGTTTCTATATACCATCTGTGAGATTGAGTCCTTAATTAAGTATTAACGTTGAAATAATTTATAAATATCTTGATTTTCTACAGTGTGTATTTAGCAGTTCAAGTGTATTTTCTTCTTCTTAGATGACGAAATGATTGGTGATGAAGTCTCAACGCGACAAGCATCTCAAGCTTTCATGTCTAATGATGAAAAATTAAAAGATGATTCCGTTGAAAGTAAGATAGAATTCTTTTTTAGATTCCAATGAAGTCATAAAAAATGTAAAAATTCCTAAATTAGAGAGCTGAAGCAAGCAAACCTTAATCATACTTTTCTGATCGAACATCAGTCTTTCTCTTTGTCTGTTCATCGTGTGTTGTGAGTAAAGTTTTGACATATTTTGCATCTTCTCCCAAATGAGTGATAACGTGTTTAGAATTTGCAAAGTTTGATAATTGTATTGCTTTTGCATCAAGAAACAATTACATTCAGGAACAGAGATCTTTATATAGGAATATATAGGAATGACATTTAGTTATTTTTTTACTCAAAAGAAAGATCAAAAGTCTTGGCCCTAAAATATGTCAACATCCTCATGAAATGTATCCAAGGATATGTTCAGAAATTAGGGAAGAATGTGTTTGCAGCTCAGATTTCGATTTCTGAACATTTTCATGAAGTATGCAACCAGTTTTGTTCCAAATATGACTCTTGGTCTAGGAAAGGGTCAATGGTTGACATTGAAATACATAGAAAGAGAGTGTTCTTCCTCCCCAACCATCATCTTCTGACCCTCAAACATTCATATCAACATAATTAATCATTATACCATATAGTAGAATTTTGTTCAAATCCTCATTATGATGGATTGTGAAAACTCAGACTAGCAAAATAACAATAAGTATGTTTAGAGACGCGGTTAAGATTCATCAAAGTTTACTCTTAGCCCCTGCGGTTAAATGAACAAAAGTAAGACTTAAAGAAGAATGCATTTATTTCTAACATATACGTGTGCCATTAACACCTTGACTTAAGTTACCGATCCTTGATTTCTTTTTGAAATTGGTTTCTACATGCCATCATCTTTGAGAATGATTTTTTAATTAAGCATTAACTTTGAAATGATTCATAAATATCTTGATTTTCTACAATGTGTTTATAGCAGTTCAAGTGTACTTTTTTCTTCCTAGTTGATGGATTGATTGGTGATGAAGTCTCAACGCGACAAGCATCTCAAGCTTTCATATCCAATGATGAAAAATTTAAGGATAATTTCTTTGAAAGTAAGATGAAATTCTTTTTTAGATTCCAATGAAATCATAACAAATGTAAAATTCCTAAATGAGAGAGCTGAAGCAAGCAAACCTTAATCATACTTTTCTGATCGAACAGGTATCAGTCTTTCTCTTTGTCTGTTCATCGTGTGTTGTGAGTAAAGTTTTGACATAATTGGACCTTCTCCAAAATAATTGATTTCGGGTTTAAGATTTGCAAAGTTTGATAATTATGTTGCTTCGTGCATCAAGAAACAATTACATTCAGGAACAGATGAAGCGAAGTTTTAGATTTTCTTCTATTTAGTAAATTGATACTTACTTAACAATTAATATAAGATATCTAATGTATGATTAAGAATTTTCATTCATTGGCTTATTTTTCTAGGAAATGAAAATGACCAATACAGGTGATATGCCAATCCCCCTACCCCTTTCCACGAGACACTCACTATGAAGGGTTGTCTTAAACTGACACTTTTACGAATATTCATGCAGTATCAAATCATTTGTAGAATTGTAGAAACATGGTTGTATTACTTTTAAGTATATATATATATATATATATATATATATATATATATATATATATATATATATATATATATATATATATATATATATAATAATAATAATAATAATAATAATAATAATAATAATAATAATAATGATATATCAAAACAGTATATATGTCACGTAGATTATATCTAAATCATAATAAGGCTGTCAGTAGAATGCATAGGGATAGGACCTTTAGAGCAAAAACAGGACTCAAAAAGTGACAAAAATATTTTGGTTCGAGTGAGATACATGTAGGATAAGATGTCTTCTCATTGTTGTATCGCGAATCCTGTTTCCTCTATCCAATATCCTGAATCCTGCATCCTATTCAGTTTCATTGCCTGCTGATTATAAGTATAGCAACACTTTATCTCTTAAAATTCAATATGTATAGATCAACATTGTTGATACTTGACTTCTGGGGCTAGCTTGAGGCCACAATGGTGTAAAATTAATGTGTTACATGTATACGGGAATGCAGAGGAAATATCTATCATTTTTTTAAGGACCAGAGCGATCATAATTAGGCGTCATTGAATATTTCTTTTTATCATATAGCCAATGAATAGCTTTTAATAAAAAAAGAAATGGCTAGAGAACTTTAGCGTTCAATATATTGGCGTTTTATGGAACGCTGGGTTTGTATTACATATATAAGTATTCCCGAATTATTCCGAATGCGAGCGTTCAATATCGAACGCCCCATAATAAACAAAAAATATCGTCTGGTAAGATATATTAATTTTCCCGCAAAACGTAATTATCATAATGTAGTACATATCAGGCTCAATAAAACCCCAATAAGTAGATCATAGAACTTGGTAGGGTCATTGAAATAATTAATATAAATCGATGGGAGATGTTTTAGCTATATAATAAAGGAGTCATTGAATTTATATTGGTGAATATTTTCACTCGTTGCCTGTACAAATGCACTCGCAGGCTCCTTCCTTTGTACAGCTAATTCGTGTCAATATTCAACAATATAAGTTCTATAACCCTATAGTGCTTTAGATACATATTCACATGCATTTAAAGCGTAATTCCTTTAATTCTAAGGACTGAAAAACACTATGGAACAAAAAGATTATATACAGACATATAATACACTCCTTGCACTTCAATATCAGGTTTATGCATTCTTAGACCTAGTTTGGACACACTAAATGATTTCATCTACCTACATGACCATATCCATTTTTTTCGAAAGGATGTATAAATAGTTATTCATTAGAAGATAGCGGCCAATCACCTCTTTCAATGACTTCTAAGTAAAAAATGTAATCAAATAAATATTTATTTTGTATCATTTCAAAATCCCATTGTTTACATCTTTCTACAATGACTATTTATCAGTTCATTTTCGTTTTTCTTAATCTAGTATGTAGAGAACCTGGTTATGATTGCTTTACGTTAGACGCATCTCGATTATTATTAGAAATTCCTCCATTGAAATATCAAGATGTTCCATTAAGAAGTAAGATTTTTTTTATTGAAACTTACTTGTACAACATATACATAGTAATCAATAACATATATCAAAATAAGTCTATTCAGAGATTAACTAGTGTGAAAAAATATGATTATGCTTAATGCATATTTACTAGCCACTGCTACATATTAATCAGATGAATCGTGTAAACAAAACTTTTTAATTGATAGGTTCTACTTCTGAATGTACATTTGATGTTTCGATGGTTGGTAGCAAAAATAACTTGGAGCGGGAGGTTCGTAACATGTTTTGTGCAATGCATTTTGATGAATTATGAAAAGTTCCAGACTTATGTTTTTAAATATGATTAATAACCCTTTTTTTCTCTCAGGAAAACGGTATAGAAATATTTGCACATGCCAACAAATATAGAAATAGAAGAAACAGGGACAATAAACGGAATTCTTTTTCCCATTCAGTAAGATTTTGTTTTCTCACTTTAGCAAAGATGACTTTCTAATAAATAATATTACTTCAAATTAGTCTACAAAATAGCACCATAACTGATCTTTCCGCGCGTGCAGAACGTATCTGTATTTATAAATCTGTTTTATTATAATCTCAAAAGACACTTGATTTTGAGAATATTTAAGGAGAATATCTTTATAATGTGTCTTTTTAGAGTTAAACTTATCAAAAATTGGAGTTTATTTTTTATACATTATTTAATTCTATGACGCTAACTATTATATGCAATGCTACGACATGGAACATATAAACAAATTGTAGTTGGATCGAATGTTGACTGATGCTTTTAATACATATTTCAAAAAGGAATATTATAAGAAGAATGTTGAAGTAGATGGAAATTTTCGAAGTCCATGTATGTATCTACTTTGTTTCAATATTTCTTAGACTATTTTTATGTGCATTTAAATATATCAAACAGTTAAACTTCTAGACTGAAGCAAACATTTATTGTAAATGCATTTTAGGCGAAACTCTAAAAAGAAAACCAAGAAACCAGGAATTGGTGAAGGTCAGTCGATTTTTAGGGCCTAATTACCTTTTAATGGGAGTTATGCTTGGATTAAATGTCAACAAAGTCGAACAAATAGTCATGAGCTACAAAGATCACGTACGGACACAAATATTTATGATTCTTATCGCTTGGAGGAGAATGAAGGAAAGGAAAGCAACTGTAAAAAAGCTTCTTGATGTCATCGAAGAATTTAAAGAAGATGTCGATGTAGTTGCTATCAGAGCAATTTTTAAGCTGTGACTTACATGATACAGCAGTTCTTAAAATCAATGCATATGTTTTGAAAAAAAAATAACTAAACATCCTTAATAAATCTAATCTAAAATATATTTTGCTCTTTTTAATTGTGTTTTATGTGTTGACCAAATAATTCCCTATTAAAATGCAAACACTCATGTACATGTAGTTACACTATCAAAATCATAAAATGTCATAATTCCTAATCTATGATGCTTCAAAGAGTTTTGAATAGTGTGAAAACAATATTTTTAATTTCCGTTGTTTACGTGAAATGAAGAGACCCATGGATTAACTCAAGTCTTCATGAAATGTGAAATTTCAAATGAATATCAACTTAACACATCTTTCACCACGAAATCAATTTCCCAAAACCAAAATTTTTTTTTTTCTCAAATCACAAACAGTGATTAACTATTATGGGTGAATAGCAAAGGGGAATACCTTCTATCAGTAGCAATTAATAAATTTTAAAAAAAGTACATAATTTCAAAATCTTGGAAAACAACCCTGCTTATTGCAACTTTATTTACTCTTTTTACCTCCTAGATACCCAGGAGCAAAGAATATTTTTCAAGGAGATGGTACATTTTCAAAATGATTCAATATAGCCCAACCTAATACAAAAGCCCCTGACACCGGGGGCCAAGATATTCACAGTTTTGGGAGAGGCGCCCATGTTCATCATATCAACTATTTACTTACTTTATCTGTTTAATACCTAGGAGGAAAAATAAAAGCATTTTCAATATATAATCAATGGAGCCCCCCACCCACCCTTCCTCTAAACCTCTCACTCTGGGGAGACGAATTTCTCAATTTTGCAAATGCACCCTTAATCATCATAACCTTGTACCTAGTTTGTCTTCTTTATATGCAGGGGAGAGAAGAAGATTATTAAAAATTTACGCATTTTCACTATGGGGCACATGAAGTTTTAAATTTTGGAGAGGATACAATGCCTTTTGCAATCATATCAACAGTTTGACTGCTTGATTGATTGTTTGTTGGTTTACGTCCCATCTAGAATATATAGAGACGTCACCATAAACTGGTGAAGGGCTTCCAATTTTGACCTTTACTTGGCACTCAGGACACTTGGCCTTTGAGGGATCTTTATCGTGCCAACTCCTGTTGTGACACGGGGCCTAGGTTTTTAAGGTCTTATCCGAAGGAACTGCGACTTTCACTTCAAGGTGCCGAGCGCAAGGCAAAGAAACAATTGCTGCCCATTTTTTATCGACTTAGGTCAGTCGCGGCCAAGATTCGAAATCATTACCTCCCGATCACGGAGTAAGCGTTCTACCAACTGAGCTACCGTGAACGGTATTTAACTGCTTGGTGTCCAGGAGTCCAGTAGTAAAAAAAAAAGTTTTTAAAGATTGCATTAATTTTAGTGGTTTTGGCCCCACCCCTCAGGTTTGACAGGGACCATTGAATTCCATTCACGCATAGATGTTACATGCGAAAATTGATTGAATTTGGTCGAACGGTTTCAGCGAAGTTAACTTAGGTGATCTAAAAAAAACCGGAATGCTATACTTGTATTATCATTTATTTCCAGGGTTTGAATAGCTGAAAACGATTATTGGTAATTTCACAAAAACTCCACCTTAATAGGATTAAATTGACATTCTCTTGAAAGTGTTCATATCTTAAGTTCGGCAACTGTTACAATGTACCATTTTATAGCTTGCGTCATGAACTAGGATGTTCTACAATTTTTACATGTATATTTTATTAGTTATTACAACTGGAAACCAAATTACAGATTATGATACGCACAAAGTATATAATAATTTGCATTTTTATTGCTAATAAAATTACATAAATACAACTCATGAAATAAAAAAAAAATGTAGTGTGATGCTTATATGAATCATCTGGGTTCAATACAAAATTAATTTCAAATAAACGTTACATGGTGTATTAAGAAATGAATTTAATTTTTGAAGATTGAAGAGGTTATGAACTACGACGCTTCACGCCGGCATATTTCATGAAGCGCGTTAGCGCTTCATGATAAATGTGCCGGCGTGAAGCATTGTAGTTCATATACCTCATGAATCTTCAAAATATTAAATTCATTTCTTATATTTACATTATTTTTCTGATGACTTGCCATGAATTTACGCCTTTCAACTGTCATTTGAAAACAAATCAGTGTGCACTATATTTTTTGACATCAAGAGCGGTATTATGACGTAACAATGGAGATATTCATGCTTATTCGTGGTACATACCTAATGTAGTCCATGACAAAATATGCTGCATTTTATTTTGTAAAGAATCAAAGGGGAAATTTATTGGTACGGCGCTGCTGGAGGGCCAGGTAAAAAAATATTTTTATTCGTTCGGACGAATTAGTTATTTGTTCGGACGAATAAGATATTCGTTCGGACAAATTAGAAATTCGTTCGGACAAATTAGAAATTCGTTCGGGCAAATAAGTTATTTGTTCGGACAAATGTTATTTGTTCGGACAAATTAGAAATTCGTTCGGACAAATTAGTTATTTGTTCGGACAAATTAGAAATTCGTCCGGACAAATTAGAAATTCGTCCGGACAAATAAGATATTTGTTCGGACAAATTAGAAATTCGTTCGGACGAATTAGTTATTTGTTCGGACGAATTATATATTCGTTCGGACAAATAAGTTATTTGTTCGGACAAATTAGAAATTTGCTCGGACAAATAAGTTATTTAACTTATTTGTACGGACGAATTAGAAATTCGTTCGGACGAATTAGTTATTTGTTCGGACAAATTAGAGAAAATGTGAACAACTGTCAGGACACCGCGATTAATGTGAGATTTGCACCAAGATGTTTCATTTTATTTTGATTCTTTGCAAAATAACTTTAATGAACAACATTATCAATAAATATTTTGAAGATAAGTCGTTTTAATGTTGATCTCTTTCTTATATTTTTTATGTACGTATTCACTACGCTGCATTTATTAATCATAACATGTAAATGATTTTTGAAATACATTTCTGATACATATGTCGCCGATATGTGGCTGAAATATTGCCGATTCGACGTAAAATATTCAATCAATCAATCTGGTACATATGCGGTGTATAAAATGAAAAAAAGATCCTCATTGAGTTTTTAATTAAATATTCCTGTTTGTGAATTAAGAAAACTTCACAAAAATGAACCTGTTCGTATTGAACTCAGGTTGTTCCTATGACTCGCGAGCCGGTGAATTAAGATGTCAACCGGTCAATCTAGTATATTCCCTAGTCCATTAAGTTACAGAGCATAATTATAGCCCCCTCCCCTTATTGGAGAGGTACATGTAGTCGAACAAACTATTTAATTTCACTTTCAGCATTTCTTAATTTTGTTTATACGCTTTTAAAGTTGAATACCAGTTCGAAGGTTTGATAGGCCAATGACTCGCTAGAAAGGGGAATTATGAAATCTACCCCTTTTATGGGGAAAATAAATCATGAATGAATGAATGTCAAAATATTCTCAAGTAACAACCCACTCCTCTATTAAAAAACGATCGATTGTCTTAATCACTGAGAAACTTAACTTGCATTAAATTATGATGTGTTTTTAAATTTTACTGAACTTTCTAGGAACGTACATGTATTCATCTAATTTTTTTTTTTATCCTTTTCCTTTTCAATGCCAATTTTTTCCCGTACCAATTGCCTGCAGTATGAATAAAACCTTAAGGAGTGGATCTCATCTTTTCAAAGAAGTGGTAACTGACCACTGGCACCCCAGTGTTACCAATTTAACACCACCAGCAAAAGTTGGACTGGTAGAACCAGATGATGTTTATTTATGATAAATTTTATGAGTGTGTCAGGGATGGGAGTGAAAAGATGTTTGATAAGAAGTAACTGACCCTCTGAATTTACTAGTGGGCTCTCAGATAAAATACTTCAGAACGGCAGACTTTAGGCCTATAATATATACCGGTATAGAACCATTTTTTCCGAATATTTACAATCAACATACCCGACTTTAATAGCACTTGTCTAGTTACAAC